GTAAAAATACGGTATTATAATCCTATGGGAGGCCAGGCGCAGTGGCTCACGCCTGTAATCCCAACATTTTGGGAGGTTGAGGTGGTCAGATCACTTGAGGTCAGGAGTTCGAGAACAGCCTGGCCAACACAGTGAAACCCCATCTCTACTAAAAATATAAAAACTAGCTGGGTGTGGTGGCACATGCCCGTAGTCCCAGCTACTAAGGAGGCTGAGGCAGGAGAATCACTTGAACCCGGGAGGCAGAGCTTGCAGTGAGCCGAGATTGCACTACTGCACTCCAGCCTGCGGGACAGAGTAAGACTCCATCTCAAAATAATAATAATAATAATAATTTTATGGCAGCACCATTGTGTGTATGTGGTTCATCATTACGTGGTGTGTGACTGGATATTAATTTATTCTGTCCTACAACAACCGCCTGATCCTATTCTTTCCTCCATTTTTAGATGAAGAAACTGAGGCACAGAGAGGCTAAGAAATCTGCTTGGGCTTTCACTGTCAGTAAACAGGAGAACCGGGATTTGAACCTGGATGGTAGCAGGTTCAACCCCCGGCTACCCTGGCAGGTGAAAAGGTTCACGGAAGAGAAAGAAGCAAGAAAGGATGGAATCTGGAGTTAGGATGAGGCCTGGAGCTCCTGCCATTGCCCCAGCCGACTGTGCCTCTCATTCCTGTTAGCACCCTAGCGTTCAGCCACGGCCTGGACTGAAAGCTTGGGGGCTCCATAAACCAGAGGTCAAATCCCATTGCTGACTCCCTGGCCAACTGTCTTGTGGCCATGGCTGCCCCTGGCTCTTGCAGCCCAGGTAAAGGTATGTGTGACACTATCCTTCCTCACGGGGGCGCTGTGAGGCTGTAAAGGAGGTGTCCTTAGCACAGGTGAGTGTCTTCTTCCCAACCCCACCCACCCACCACTCCCAAATCCAAGCCCTCCACTTCCTCAGCGGCCCCCTGCCAATGCCTGGTACATTCTGAGCTGCTGCCCACACAGAAAGGAAATTCCCTGGGAGGTGACACCAGCAGACCCATTTTGGCACTGTGGAAACTGAGGCACAGGTCAAGGAAGTGACCCACCCATAGCTCCCACTCCGGGGAAGAGCAGGAACAAACACAGCAGCCCTGCCCTGGCTGCTTTCCTGGAAGCCCGGGTCCAGAGGGTCCCCCAGGAAGGCGAGCTTGGGGGTCAGGCCTGTGAAGCCTCTTTCCTGAGATGCCCGCCAAAACTGAGATGCCGGGGCCCGGCCCTCCTTGTGTGACCCCCCAGGTACGAGGCATGGCCTGGGCACCTGAATGTGCTCCCCACGGGACTCTGAAGCCCAGCCGGACCAGGAGCAACGGCCTCCCAGTCCCCAGGAAAGAGGCTTCGATTAACAGCACTGCTGCTGGGGCCCCCGAGCCCCACTGCCTGGATTCTAGCACCTGGCAAGGCATCCTAAATGCACCCTAAATACACGGGAGCGGCCTAGATTTCAAGAAACACCAGCCCCTTCCTGACTCCCGACCACCACGAAACCCTTTGTAGAGCGGATCGGCTTTGGTATAACAAGTGAACTATCCTCCCCAGTTCCTCTTCTGGATTAAGCCTGAATATTCAGGGTCACTCAAGGCCAGATATACCAGGATTTTCAAGGTAGAGTGTATCCACTCACCCCAGACCCACACACACACAAAAGCAGGCATACCCCAAACCACCTGCACCCCCTAAGAACAAAGCGCACACACACACACATATAAGCGTGCCTATCTACGCACAAGAAAATGCACATCCACACAAGCACACGCACACATACACCCCCCCACACACACACCCCACACCACACACACACGCACACACACACCACACACACGCACACACAACCACACACACGCACACACACCCCACACACACACCCCACACCACACACACACGCACACACACACCACACACACAACCACACACACGCACACACACATGCACACACAACCACACGCACACACACCCCCCACACACACACACACACACGCACACAACCACACACACGCACACACAACCACACACGCGCACACAACCACACACACACGCACACACAACCACACACGCACACACACCCCACACACACGCACACACACCACACACACGCACACACACCACACACACGCACACACGCCACACACACGCGCACACACCCACACACACGCACACACACCCACACCACACCACACACACGCACACACACGCACACACACACGCAACCACACACACACGCACACACCCCACACACACGCACACACACACCCCACACACACACAACCACACACACGCACACACACCGCACACACACACGCACACACACACGCACACACAACCACACACACGCACACACACCCCACACACACGCACACACACACGCACACACAACCACACACACGCACACACACGCACACACACGCACACACACACCACACACACACACCACACACATGCACACACAACCACACGCATGCACACACACACCACACACACACGCACACACAACCACACGCACGCACACACACACCCCAGGCCTTTCCTGTTACCGGTTCCAGCAACCACTCGGTGCAGAGCCATGGAGGGCAGGGCTGATGAATCCTCAGTGGAAAGGTGGGGCTCTCCCTCCCCATCTTCACCTCCTGCTTCCAGAACCTCCTCTGGGAACCTTCCCACACTTGGCCCCAGCTGATAGGGATGGACGATTCTACCTGTGGGCTCAGATTCAGGTAACACCGCAGTCCGCATGCACAACGAGCATGCAGTGTTTGTGGCTGTCAAACCAGATGCTCCCCCTCCCCTGCCTCTCCCACCTTTCCTCTGCCCCCACACTCACTAAGGGTAGGGTCTGGCTCTTCTCCTCCATTCTCCACAGTTATGACAGACTTGAGTTCAAATCGTAGTTCAGTCATTCCAGTCTTTCTCTTTTTATTTTTATGTTTTTGTTTGTAACAGGATCTCACTCTGTTGCCCAGGCTGGAGTGTGGTGGCACAATCATAGTTCATGGCAGCCTCAAACTCTGGGGCTCAAGCGATCCTCCCACCTCAACCTCCCGAGTAGCTGGTACTACAGGCATACACCACCATGCCCAGCTAAGTTTTTGGAGAGACGAGGTCTCCCTTTGTTGACCAGGCTGGTCTTGAACTCCCATTTCAGCCTCCCAAAGCACTGGGATCACTTGGTCCCATTTTAACCTTTCTGTACCTCAGTTTCCTCATCTGCAAAGTGGGGATAGTGCTAATATCCAGCTCACAGACAGCTGTGAGAATTAAACTGAAGAATACATGGAAACTTCTGGAGAGATCACCCATCAGAGTTAATTCCTCAGTCATGTCACTTTCAGTGCTACCTTGGGCCTCTTATCCTCCCTGGCTTCTGCCTGCTTCCTTCTGCCCCTCGCTCCCACAGGACCCTGGGCAGGTCCTGAGGCTATTTCAGTCTGGGCTGCATCTGCCGCAGTGAGCCTGGATTTAGGGAAAACCTTGAGGTGAAACTCAAGCAAGTGGGATGACAGCTGGGAATGAATTTTAGAAACTGTCAAGGGCCGCCCAACATGATTCCCTGCCAGGGTGGGAACTGGAAGATCCCACTCAGACTCTAAGACAGGGTCGTGGAGACACCAGCCTCCTCCAAAATCCAACTTCAAGAAAATAGGCTGTGCCCCACCGCCAGGCTGAGTGTGCTGCTGGGCGCAGAGGGTGTGGAGGGCGGCTGGGCTGCAGCCCTAGGCTTGGGGCTTGGCAAGGGCGGGGCGATCGCTCCAGGTTTTGGAATGAGCACAGGGACTTCCTTGAATGGTGCAACTGAAAATATTGCTCTGTGAAGGGGCAAGGCAGTGTCAGGCCTGGGGCTCCCTGCTCACCCAGGTCAGGCCCCAGCTCTGGTCAGCCCGACTGGGTTTACTGGGCTCACCCTGGGGTTTGAGGACGAGTTCTGGCCAAAGCTCATACATTGGCTCTCTGTGTGCCTGGAGTCAGGAGAATCTAATGGTTACAGCTCGAGTCACTGACCATTTGCTTCCCCTCCCTAAGCTTCACGTTTGCAACCTGTAAAATGGGCAGCCTGGCCGGGAACATCCATTTCAGCAGATCCCCCAGGGAGGAGCCTGGCTCCAGCATACTGCTTAAGGCCACTGTGATTCCACGACCCCAGTCTCACGGCAGGGTGGCTTTTCCTTCCTTCCTTCAGCACTGGGGAGAGCATGAGTCAACTGTCCAGGGGGTGGACACACAGGGCCGAGCCCGTGTCACCCAGGCCTGCCTGCACCTTCCAGCCCTGGCCACCTCTGTGCCAGCCCCCCAACCCAGGCCAAGGCCTTCCTTACCGCAGACCCTCCTGCCCGCAGACCAAAAACAGTCTCCAAAACAAATCCATGCTAATGAGCTGCTGCAGGGCCGGGCTGCACATCTGCTCAGCAGAAGTTCCACTGCAGACCTCACCAACAACCCTGCCCGCTCCGGCAGCCTCCGACCCTTGGGGTTGTGGGTCGGGGGAAGCAGCTAAACTCAGCCTGAAATTTCACTTTAAAATAATGAGGCCATATCGCTGGCCGATGCAGAACACCTACTCCCGTGTCCACCCCTCCAAAACACAGGCCCGGGAGAGAGGTCCAGTTTGCAGGGGTGGGTGGAGAGGGGTGAGGGTCACCGAGGAAACGCTGCAGCCTCGCCTTTTCTTTGGCCCCAACTCAAGGCAAACCACGCCCAAGCAGTCCCAGCATCTGGGGGAGTCTAGGGAGGCCCCATTCCGCAGTAACAAAGGGTAAGGGGCTCCTTGTTGACAAATTGCTTCCCGGCCAGCGCCCGGTCTTTGGCCTCCAGCCCTGACCTCTGTTTTCCTGGGGTGCCCCTAGTTACAGGCTGGTGGCGTCCAGCTAGGGGAGCCAGGGCCTCCGAAAGCCTGGAAGTATGGCCTTCTCCCTTGATGCCCGCCAACCCCCGGCCACGCCAAGGCGGGCGGCTGCCCCCTCTGCCGCCGCTTGTAAAAGATCAGAATCGCCCCGCCCTAGGAGCGGGCCGGGCAGGTGGCCCGCAGCAGGGCCTGTCGTCCAGCCGGCCTCGCGGGGGTGGAATTCTTAAGAAAACTGAGCCCCCGGAAAGGCTGGCTCTCCCTGCCCCAGACTCAATTCCAGGGAGATGACCCGGGCCAGGCCTCGGGGCTGGCGGGAGGCAGGGGGAGGGTTTGGCGCACCCGGTCTAGGAAACTATTCGTGAACCCCGCTGGGGGAAGGCGAGCCTCCGACACTGGGGGGATTGTCTGGATCGGAGGGCGGGGGGTCAGGGAGACGCGCAGACACAGGGCGAGACCCCCACGGAGGGCAGCGCAGAGACACAGAGAGGGAGAGAAAAGCGAGAGGCAGAGACACAAACGCGGGCAGCCGAACACGGAGGCAGACAGGGAACGGTAAGAGACGGGCAGACCCGGGGAAAGTGAGCGGCGGAAACGGAGCGACGGAGGGACAGACACACGGACGTGGGGACCGAAGCAGAGGGGGCCGCGGGAGGCGGAAACGTCCAGAGCCGAGAGGCGCGGCGAGGCCCGGGCATGACCGGGGGACATGCGAGCCCGGCCCGCCCGGCCACGCATCTCCCTCCCGGTCGCGGAAACTCCGATCGAGAAACGGAACCCCGGGGCGAGTCTGGGGACGGGCTCCGGGCACGGCGGTGCCCCCCGGCCACCCCATGCCGCGCCCACGTCCCCAGCGCCGGCGTCCGGAGGCGTCCGCCAGGTCCCCTTAGGCTCCCGGGCTCGGCGGCGGCGCCTCCACCCGGTGCCCGCGGCCGCCGGACGCGCCGGGGGACGGAGCTCCGGGCTGGGGGCGCGGCGCTGCCCCCGCGGCCGAAGCCTCTGGAAGCCGGGCGCCCGCGTGCCGGCCCGGGCGGGACTTACCGCGCGCGCCCGCCGGGTCCTGCGGAGCTGGGTGCGGGGGTCGCGGGCCCGGGCGCCCCAGGAGGCTCGGCGAGGCGGCCGGCAGGACTGGGGGCGGCCCCGCGACGCTCGGCTGGGCTGCGCTGCGCGCCGTCTGCGGCCCCGGGCGGGCGCGCGGCGCGGGGGAGCGGCTCCGACGTCAGGGTGGCTCCCTCCAAACAGGGCGCGAGGGCGGGGGCAGCGGGGAGGGCCGCGCGCAGAAAGAGCGGGCGGGCTGCGCGCGGCCTCTCCCTCCGGGTGCGCAGGAGGGGGCGCCGCAGCGGCCGGGGCCCCGGGCCCTCTCCCCGCCCGCCCGCCCCGGGCTGGGCTTCGGCGCGCTCCGACGGCGTGGTGGGGCGGCCGGGACGCCTGGCCGGCGCCCGAGAAGCAGGGCAGCGCAGCCGGGCGCCCTGGCCCGTTCTAAAGCGCCCTCCCCGGGTTTCTCTGCGCTTCCACCCTCTCCGCCCGACTTTTCGCGAGCCTGGGCCGTCAGGCCGTGCCAGGCCTCGGGGTGACAAAGATGGATGTGTCCCTTTTGTGGGCACCGGGCATTGCAGACTTGCCCCAAGAATGGGGCGCCCCAGCCTGCCGCGTCCCGGCACCAGGAGTCCCTCCTCACTCTGCGGTTCTGCGGTGCACCCCATCTCGCCCGCTCCGGTATGCGACCCGGTTCAAGTCCGTGCTGTTGGTAACCTGGGTCACTCAACCTTGCCCAGTGTTATCCTAGCGTTGCTCTCGGCCCCACACACTTGTTAAGCATCCCGAAAAGCCCCAGGGACTATTAGGAACTAGAAAGCCAGCAAATGAACTCACTTCTCTGACTCCTGAGAAGAGTGGAGCGCCTGGCCCCAGCTTCCAGCCTCAGCTCGGGGGTTCCTATCTGATCAGTGGGCACTTGGGTGGATTGCGGCCGTGCCTTCTCTGTGTGCTTAACAACGGGGTAAGAAAATAACTTTGCTCCTGGAAAGTGGTGGCCCAGGGACACCACTGGGACACGATTGTAGGACTTGGGGATTTTGCTTTACAGCATAGTTACCTGTGTCCATGTGTTTTACCTAACTTGGCTGGAAACTTCCAGATAGACGCAGCCCTGCTCGTCTGACTCATGAGGTTGCCGAGCATCCTGGGTGGCTCCTAGTGGCCTGCTGGAAACTCCCTGGTGTACTCCAGCCTACCCGCACCCTCCACACCCAGCCTGCATCTGTGCCTCCTAGCTGTTTCCTGCGCCCTTCCCTCTACCCGGAATTCCCTTCCCCTCCTTTCATCTCTGGCAAATATTCTAACAGCACCAGATTGGAAAGCCTTCCCAAGACCCTCTGGGAGCATCTCCCTCCTCCAGTGTGATCCTGGAGCACTGGATGAGAACTTCTGTTCATGTCAGTTTCCCTCTAGAATAGCTGTGTACATCTCTTTCCTCCATTATACCTTGAGGGCAGGAATCATGTGTTTATTTCAGTGTCTTCATTGCTTATGGGCAGGCCAGGTGAGATGATTGAATTATTATTATTATTATTATTGCTATTATTTTGAGACGGAGTTTTGTTGTTGTTACCCTGGCTGAAATGCAATGGCGAGATCTCCGCTCACTGCAACCTCTGCCTCCTGGGTTCCAGCAATTCTCAGCCTCCCGAGTAGCTGGGATTCCAGGTGCCCACCACCACGCCCGGCCAGTTTTTGTATTTTTAGTAGAGATGCGGTTTTGCCATGTTGCCCAAGCTGGTCTCGAACTCCTGGCCTCAAGTGATCCACCCGCCTGGGCCTCCCAAAGTGTTGGGATTACAGGCGTGAGTCACCACGCCCAGCGAATAAAGTAATTATTATCCCCGTTTGATGTAGCACAGATAGGTCTCCCCTTAATGGTAACTATGACCGTTATAATAGTTCACACATATTGAGCACCTTACCATGTGCCTCATCCCACTGCAAGCTGTTGCCACTCTCACAATAAACCTATGAGGTAAGTATTGTCTCTATTTTAAAAGTACTGGGCACCGTGGCTCATGCCTGTAATCCCAGCACTTTGGGAGGCCAAGGCAGGCGGATCACTTGAGGTCAGGAGTTCGAGACCAGCCTGGCCAATATGGTGAAACCCTGTCCTACTAAAAATACAAAAATCAGCCAGGTGTGGTGGCATGCACCTGTAGTCCCAGCTACTCGGGAGGCTGAGGCAGGAGAATCACTTGAATCTGAGAGGTGGAGGTTGCAGTGAGCCGAGATTGCACCACTGCACTCCAGCCTGGAGACAGAGTGAGACTCTGTCTCAAAAAATAAATAAATAAATAACAAATAAATAAATAAATAAAATAACAAAAGTGGAAAAAATCCTGACGCAGGAAGATCACTTGATCCCAGGAGTTTGAGGCTGTAGTGAGCTGTGATTATGCCACCGTACTCCAGCCTGGACGACATTACAGAAGGCTAATTGTGGAACCTAATGAGCTTGTCACTCCAGCGAGGCCTTGTCTCAAAAAAAAAAAAAGTGAAAAAAGGAACGTCTAGAGAAAGGTTAAGTAACTTGCCTAAAGTCACACGGTAAGAGCCCATGCCCGCTAATGTCTGTTGGATAACCATGTACCATGTACTACAGAAACCAGCCTCACTGCACTGTACACACTAGACACTCAGGAAATATTTACCATTTTGCAACCAAAGCTTACCACCACCATCTTTCATGCAGACCCTGAGCAGGGTGGAAAGTGGAGTTTTACATTTTGTGAGAATCCACTCCCACATTGCAGAAAGCTAATTGTGGAGCCTGATGAGCTGGTCAGATCACACATAGAGCCAGGAGTAGAAGCCACAACTTCCAGCCAGTGCCTTTGACAGGGCAGCCCACCATCTCTCAAACACGGGGAGGTTCAAGAACACCACCAACCTCCTAATCAGGGACAAAGGGTTTGGAGTTGAGTCACCATCTGTCTGGTGATGACTGATAACTATTGGAAAGCTACAGTGTGGGCAGGGGGCCTGAGAAGTAAGTTGGTAGTAATGTCTACCCATTTTGTGCCAGGCATTATGCTGGCCACTCTGTCTGCTTCATCTCTAATCCTTACCACAGTCCCATCATTGTTCCCGTTTTACAGGTGAGAAAAATCGAGACACCAAAAAGTGTCATTACCTGCTCAAGACCACATTGCTAGTAATTGACAAAGCCTGGACTTGAGCCCAGATCTGTCAACACCAAAGTCCATGCTTCCGTGCCCACCACACCCTCTCCACCCTCTCGGCTGCCTCAATGCTCCTCCCCATCAGGCTGCAGCAGGGATGCTGCACTGGTGACCGGACCCAGGGGCCCCAGTGGGAAAGGCAGAACCTGTCACGTCAGAGTCTCCCAGCTTGAGCAGATGCACCTGGTTGGCAGTGGTGTTCCAGCTGCCCCTACAGGCCTGGCTGGCACAGGGCATGGGCCTGAGGCCAGAGCCTCCTGGCCCTGGGCCAGCCTCTTGGGGCCGAGGTAATGTGGGGCCCAGAACTGGGGCTCAGGGCTGAAAGCCCCTCTCCCCAGCTCATTAGCAAACATCTGGGCTCAGGAAAATGACCGACCTGGAATGTGACTGAGCTGTGGGGAGCTGCTGTCTCCCAGAGTCCGGGAATGTGAGCTCCCTCCTGCAGGGCACGGACTCAGCCCAGCTGTTTCCTCCAATCCTGTCAGTCTGGCCTCAACGGGGGTCCAAACCTCTGCACTCTCGGTGGAGAAACAGAATGAAAACAAGCAAAAGGCCTGCCTTCCCAGTCCAGCCCACTGAACAGAGGGTTGGTACCCAGGCCCTCTCTTTTTACGATAAAGATAAGGGTGTTCACACTTCAGGTTTGGAGCTAGGAGGAGCCATTCGGACTCATCAGGGGAGGCTCAGGGTTTACATTTTTGCTGCATCGCCCTTTGACTCTGTGCTAGTTGTTTCACACCTGGGCCTTGGTTCCCTTATCTGTAAAATGCAGTTAGTAGTGCTATGTACGCCATAGATTTGTTGTCTGGAGTCATTCATTTATCCAACAAATATTTATTGTGCCTATTATGTGCCAGACACGCACAGAGGTGTTGAGGACACAACAATAGACTAGACCAATAAGGTCCCAGCCTCCAAGGAGCTTATGTTCTGCCACACCCAGGCAGATTGTGCAACAGATAAACAGATGAGTGGATCTCACATAACCAATGTGTTCTGAAGGTTCCAAGTTCAGTTGTTTAATATTTATTTAAAAGAGGCAGGTGCAATGGCTCACTCCTGTAATCCCAGCACTTTAGGAGGCTGAGGTGGGTGGATCATTTGAGGTCAGGAGTTCAAGACCAGCCTGGCCAATACGGTGAAACCCTGTCTCTACTAAAAAGACAAAAATTAGCCTGGCGTGGTGGTGGGCACCTGTAATCCCAGTTACTTGGAAGGCTAAGGCAGGAGAATTGCTTGAACCTGGGAGGCAGAGGTTGCAGTGAACCGAGATCGAATTGCTTGAACCTGGGAGGCAGAGGTTGCAGTGAACCGAGATCGAATTGCTTA